CTCCCGCGCCTCGCTCAGCCAGTGAGCGGGAACCGGTCTGTATGTGGGATCCGAACCCTCGGACGGGAGCGCCGCCGCGCTTCCCAAGCGGCGCACTATCCAGTGCGCCACCGGGCCGGCCCCTGATGTTACATTTTTATAGTTGTAAATTTGGTTGATTTGTGGGAGAGAGTGACGCTGGGAACCGTCTATTCCGCCATCTTGATTGAATCCGCCAGTTATCTCTGTAGCACTTTGTTCTTCCCTGTTCCAATAATTCTTCACTATCTTGTTAGCTCTCTGGTGCCTTCAAGTGTGTGTTTTTCATAATTTATTCAGTTTTTCTGAATTCTATTCAGCTGTCCTCAGAAGGCAACTAGTCTCATTTACCTAGTGCACTAATACTAGAAGTGGAGTTCTACTCTTTTCAAGCATGAGTATAGAGTTGGAACTGAAACTGTGTTCTTGATCCAGCTTTCTGCTGCAGTACTGCAAGTTAACAGTTTGTAAAACTTTAAGTGAGATAAAGATATATGGAGATTGGTATTTGTTATCTTAGTCCATCTACTTTTAAATTTTAGTTTTTGAAAGGGTGTGGTAAAGAGAACCATTGTCTATTAGTTGCCATTATACACAAGGCTATGAAAGATTGATGACTGAATCATTCTTTACAAGTATCACAGTTAATCATTTCAGTGCATTTCATTCTATCATTAACTTGTTCTATGTAAGTCTTAGGACAATGCAACATTCTATTGTGGCAAACTCAAAAGGTCTCCTGAGACCAAAGGTTTAAAGCATAGAGTACAGCTGGCTAAATGTGGGTCTCATTTTTTTTGGGAGCAAGACTCAGTAAACAAGGTGAATTCAGAGTTTCTTTGGTGGAAAACTGTAAAATATAAGGACCACCATTCTATATTTAGTTTACTTTCAAAAGTCAACAGGACCATTTTTCTTTAATTGCCCTCATAGAGGGAAGTCTAGGTGCAGGCTATTTGTGAGTTTTAAGCTAAAGTTTTTCAGTTGCTTATTATGGGTTGATGTTTTATATAGATCCTCTAAATTCTGAGGTTTTGAAAAACACCATAAAAAAATTCTTTAACTTCTCTAAGCCTTTTGGTAAAGACCCTTTCAGTAAACATTTGTGATTGGCGTGTAATATGTAATGAGCAGTTAGCATCACTGATTTACTATGCATTTATTTAAATTTCTCCCAGAAATTTAGATTTATGTGCTTTGTTTTCTTTACCAAACAGGATTTGCCCAATAACATGATCCATCAGGTGCCAATTAAATCACTCCCTCAGGAGTGGCTTTGGTGTGAAACGTGGTGTGATGACGCCTCTAAGAAAAGAGCAAAAACAATCGATTTGGTAAGCTGTCTGTGGAGCTCCTCTGCACCTTAATCCAGTGTGATGTACAACTGAATGACTATTAGTTCTTATTTACCAGGATCTTATTTAGCCTTTCTCTGCAAATGCATAGTTTAGGGGCTATGGAACATCTTGTGGTAATTTTAGCAGTTTTCCTTTTTGCTTAAGCAGGAAACCAGATCCTCTAGTGCCTGATGAGACTGCTTGCACTACCTACGATCTGCTGAGTCACTACTTGTCTTCCACTTTATCTCTGTGCCTTATAATTGTTCCAAATGGACTTTGACTTTTCCTGCCTTCCAGTGGCCTCCCACAACTTCTTTGTAGAACAAGCAGATGCAGCTGTATATAGCTCCCGTGTCATATTGCTTCTGCTAATATATCCTTTGGTTCTTCAGTGTTGTTCTTTGTATCTAGTTAGGACTAATAGCCCAAGAATAGAAACACCTTTGAATTCTATATAATGTATCCTTTCTTCAGCTCAGGTGAAGCATGTTCTTTTGGTTTTTATAGTGTAATAATCCAATGACCAAAGAGCCCAAGCTGGAAGCAGCTGTACGAATTGTCCCAGAGTGGCAGGACTATGATCAAGAAATCAAACAGCTACAGATCCACTTTCAGAAGGAGAAAGAAACAGGGACGCTGTATAAGGAGAAGACAGAAGAACTGAGCCGAGAAGGTATGTGCAAACCTTTGGCTTTAGGTAAGTACTTCTTTTCATTTCTGATTTCTATTTGTTAGGAAATCAACAGAATAATGAATAAAAGGAAAAGAAAAATCTTCCGTAGTCCTTCCATCTTAACATTAATTGGTGTGCATATGTTTTTCATTTTCCTTTTTTAGTTGGCCTTCTGTTAAACAGTATTTATTAACACAATTGTTACTCTTTTTTCTTTCTTTCTTTGGTCGAGGGAGAAGGGGTGCTTTAATTGTGATTATTGTTATTTACGTTCATGAGTTTTGTGATAACATAAGCCGAACCTGACATTAGTTTTGGGAACCCTTGTCAGATTTCTTGTTTTTTTGAATTAAATTTGTCAAGTTGCTACAAATGAACAAACTTAGATGAAGACAAAGTATATATTGATTTTTTAAAAAATATTCTTTAAAACAAGCATCTGGGGTGAGGAGGAAGTGTTTGTGTTTAATTTAGGCTAAGAACAGAAAGTACTTAAGTCTTTCATGTTTTTCCAACTATGTGCACATCTTGAATGGTGGCCACTTGAAAAAAATCATTATAATACAAAAGTGACTTTTTAAACTATTAATAAGCCGGACTGGGGATTTTAAGATTTATAAAAGCAATCGTAGAACAGGGATCTTGAGTGATTCACCTGTACATCTTGAAGACTGTACCATGATATTAAATATCACAGCTAGATTATCTAATCACCATAAAGATAATTAACTCAAATTCCTTATTTTTCAAGGATTTGTGAATTCAAGGATTTTCATAGATAAATGGGCAAAGAACGTGAACATACTGTTCAAATGAGAGGAAAGCACAAATAATAAATGACTTTGAGGGGCCGGCCCAGTGGCACACTGCTACAGTGCGCCGCTTGGGAACGCGGTGGCGCTCCCGCTGAGGGTTCGGATCCCACATACAGACCGGTTCCCGCTCACTGGCTGAGCGAGGGGCGGGCGCAGCACCGAGAGTTGCGATCCCGTTGCCGGTCCCGGTCCGGTACGGGCGCGACACTGAGGGTTGCGGTCTGTTGCTGGACATGAAAAAAGACAAAAAGCTTAAAAAAAAAAAAATTAAATAAATAAATAAATGACTTTGAGGAAACAGTAATCAAATTAAAGCAGTCTGTCATTAGTATCAGCTACACAGAAAAAAATAGATATTGATAGTATTGATAATGCCATTTGTTGGGGAGATGGTGATGAAACTGTTCTGCATGTACCTTGTTGAAGTTTTGTGTATTAGAGCAACCCTTGTTAAAAAGTAGTATATCTATCGTCATGAGCCTTTAAAATGTTTGTGCCCTCAGTAATTTTTCTCTTGGGAATTTATCTTAAAGACATAATTCAACACTAGACAAAAGTTATGTGAAGAAATTTATTTTACTATTATTTATAAACCAAAAGCATTAAAAACATTTTAAACATCCAAGAATGAGATACACTGGTGCATAGGAAAATGTTTATATACTATTAAGTTAAAAAAAATAATACTGAATAAAAATGCATGCATATTTTCTGAAAGTAAATATTCCAATTGTAAAAACAATTTAGTTCAAATAGTAGCTTGCAGGTAGTTTCAGTGTTCTTAAAAATAAAAATGTTGCCTTTTTTTTGTTTTTGTTTTCAAAATATACAAAAACACCAAAACAAAGCCTCTCAAAATTTAAAATAAGATAAAATGGAGGTGGAGATTCAAGTAATTAATAAGTTGTAGTGATGGAAAATGCCCACTTTTTTTCTATGTAGCAGATTCTAATGACAGGCTGCTTTAATTTGATTACTATTTCTTCAAAGTCATTTATTATTTGTATTTTCCTCTTATTTGAACATGATTATCTATGAAAATCCTTGAATTCATAAATCCTTGAAAAATAATGAATTTGAATTAATTATTTTTATGGTGACTATATAATCTTCTAGCTGTGATATTTAATATCATAGTGCAGTCTTCAATGTGAGGATAATCTTTTTTCTTTTCCATTGTTCTCCTTTTCCACAGGACCTCAGAAGCATGAAGAATTATGATCTCTGGAGGAGGATAGGAGATTATACTATTTGAAAAACAGTTTTTATACGAACTGATAGTTTTTTTGATCTGTCTGTACAACTGCTGATAAAATGGCCGGGCAGGGGTGCCCCACCTTTTGATTCTGAGCATTTGATTTTGACTTCTGCACACCAGTGGACGCTATATCTCTGGGTTAAGGCTCTATTGGATTTGTACCTCAGAGGAAGACAAGTGGCTGATCTTTTGGGACTTTGTAGAGAGCAATCTTCTAATCAGAGGGGGAAATGGCAGCAACAACTGGAAGAAAATGAGCCCTTTGGTGCCCATACCCAAGAGCACACACATGCTGCACTGTCGCAGGAAGCAGGCCAGCCAGAGCCGCCATGTTCTTCCTTACCTCAGTTTACCTGCAGCTTTTGCTGGGTCAGGCCAGCAGAAGCTTTGTCCAAGGTCACTACACCTCGAGGTTTACGCCAGTGTGCTCCTTGTGCCCTTCCTGCATTCTCTTCCTAGGCATTAGGTTCATTGTTTAATTGAAACTCAGCCAACAATTGTGTGTCTTCAGTGTCGGCTTGGTGCAGTGGTTACACATATTAATTTGAGGACAAGATTGGAATGGGGTGGGGTGAATGTAGGGAAAATAGCAGGATTAGGGGGGCCTCTTAAGTGTTGGGGGAGGGGAGGAAGACCAGAAATTGGCCATTCTCTTTTATGAACTATTGGTACCATCATGGCTAATTTGAAATGAAAACATTATTCTTATTTCCTACCCAACCCCAGTGAACTTTTTAGGTAATTGTTTTGTAAACAGTTTTTGTATGTATGAAAGTCTTTGCTTTTTCTTCTCACTTTCTAAAAAAGGCCTGCTATCAATTTCCTTACTGGATACAGCCATACTAAGCCCCTCTAGTGATCCGTCTTGGAGGGCTCAGGGCTCCCTCTGGACGATGACCACGGTGTTTGCCCTCTCCTGTGTAGGGCTTTCTCTCAGACCCAGAGGACAGTGGGTTGGACTTTTTTCTACAAAATGCTCCCAGATCTAAGACCCGGAAAATTTTTGACTGTGGGATTAATATTTTTTGTACACTGTCCTATATTCCTTTTATTTTAGCACCGTGGGTTGCCTTTGGCTTACAGAAATTGCCAGTGCCCAGACCAGCTCTGACTTCACGTAGTTGCACTGTGAAGCACTGCTAGCCCTTCAGTCATTGCTTTCTGTGTCTTCACCCGACAGCTCAGCATTGGCTTTTTGGGAGCAGCCTTTGCTGATGAACGGGCCATCAGGTCTTGGTGTGGTGTTGGCCTTAGAGGGAGAAGGCTCTGGTGACGTGGCTCTGTCTCTGCCCAGGCTGCAGGGCACAGCAGCAAGAGTGCGGACAGGGTGCCACACTTGCTTTCCAAGGCACACAGGCTGTTGCCTTCATATTTTCCCTGCTTTTTAAAAATATAAGGAGAGGGTGCAAATGGATAGGTAAATCCTTACCCTTCTATGCCAGGTAACATATTGATGTGTAGTCTTTTTTAAAAATCAAAGTCTATCACATATGCAAAGTATTTTATTTTTCCCATTTTCATATGCAAAAGTTAGCTTAGGAGCCTCCCAGTCAGTCTGAAGGAGATTTTGACTTTGCTTTCATAATTTCATCAAAAATTGGGGAGAAGGGGCTAGCTGGTTAGTTGGTTAGAGCGTGATGCTGATAGCACCAAGGTCCAGGATTTGATCCCTGTACTGGCCAGCCTCCAAAAAAGAAAAAAAAAAAATTGGGGAGGGCTGAATTTAAAAGAGAATTAGATAAATTCATCTGAGACTGAACAGGTGCCCCAGAATCACTGCCATTGACAAAGGATGTAGCATGATTTCTCCCTGCCCTGCCCTTCACCTGGCCAGAGCAGCCGAAGGGATAGGATCAGTGAGATTAAAAAGCATTTGTTCAAACTTCATCTTCACATTTTATTAAGCCTTCAGGGAGGCCACTGCCTACAACAATGGGCAGAAATGTGCATTTTCCCAGTATATTGACTGGGATGTTGAGCAGGAAATACTCAGCTCACTGGGATTTGCTTTTCAAATGCTAGTTCCCATGGGATGCAGAATTGGCCACCTTTCTCTGTGTCTTTCTACCAAGTCTCCCATACATATTCTATGTAAGGAAGGCGCAGAGTGAAATAAAAGTTCTCTGTGTGGTGCGTGTGTCCTGTGTCACTCATTGGCCCTTATCTGTCATCACCCTGACATGAGTCTTACTAATAGCTGACTCTGATGAATGCAACACCCAGCCTGCTTCTGAAATGATCTATGCTCCTCCTCCTGCCAGTTTCTTTTCATGCTTTATGGGACATAATTGCCTTTAAAGTTAAACGAATGCCCTAGGAAATGATGTTACCAGTAAAATGTGGTCTTGGTCAGCTTTGTCTGTTGTCTCTACCATAAGAAAAAACACTGTGACTGAATAGATAGGTAAGACAGGTTTTTTTCCCCCAGGAATCAGGAGTTGATTGCGCTGAATGTTCAAGCTTCTGGAAACTGTTTATAGTGTGTTGTTCTTAGCCATTATTTATATGTAATGGATTTTTTTTTTTTTTATCATCATGCCATAATGGAAAATTTTCTTTGTGAATAAGTGGCAGAGTAATATGAAATAATGTGACATGTCAGAATGACATGCAGCAATGTGAGCCTGTTTTTATGTTCTATGAACAGTGGTATTTGGTTGAGGTGAAAATCTGTCACACAGCCTACTGCTGGGGCTGTGGGTTACTCAATGGTCAGTGTCTCTGGCCTCCTGTGTTTGGTTTTAAAAGCGTCCTGAATGCTTACCACATTCAGAGTGATGGCATGTTGGTTTTTGGTAAGAATGATAAAGTTGTGAATCTGTGTAAATGTTGCATTTCAAATCAGATGTGCAGATGTTTGCACGTCTGCCAAGTTCCCGGGCATTATGGTAGGCTGTGCATTGTGTGAACTCATTGCACATATTACCTATGTTAAGAAACAGTTTCCATGCATGGAGCTTAATTTACTCTGCTATCCTTAAGTCCTTATGTTCTGAACTTTGTTACGGCTCTGCCTGAACAAACACGTGTTATCCGGTTGTGGGGACTGAGTCCCTGAATGAAGGGCTGGGATCTAGGGATGTTAGTGCAGTATTTGAAAGAGACTGGTCCAGGGAGGAAGGAAATCCTAAAGTTTTCTTTAACCAGGAGTTACTCTTTTCTGACACCATAATTTGGAAGAGGTCAGACACCACCCTCATAACAAGTGTAAAATGAGTCCTCTCCTCCCCAACTCCCCCATGAGTAAATTTAGATACTTGAAAGCAATCCTTTTCTAAAATTGCCACGCCTAATCTGGCTTGAATGATTAAAAGAAGGAATTCAACTCAAAAGTTATAAGGGGGAATAAAAGTTACAAGCAAATTTTATTCAATCTTGTTGAGTAGAATGTTAGTACTGTGGTATCAGAGTTCATGGAAATGGAAATGTATTGATAAAGCTGCCTGATGGGAACTTTCTCTTGGTAAGGAAAATGGAGGGTGCATAAAAAATGGAGGGTGTATTATGTGCAAACTTATTTAAATATATATTCCAATGTTGTGTAATTTTAATAATTAGTGTTTTAAGTACTTGATTTTATAGGGACATTTTGGGGGGGATGATGGGCGTTAATAAAAAATAGAGCTTGTCTGGTGGGGTAACATTTTTAAATTTAATTCATGTTTCTCTGATCTGATGTAGTGAGGAAAAGATCTTAATCAGGACTTTGGTAATTAATTACCTGATTGAATTCAAACAAGGTAGATGTCATTAACTCATGGGGTTATTAATACTTCAAAGTATCTTTTTGTTTTGGTTGCTGGCTGGTATGGGGATCCAAATGCTTTGACCTTGGTGTTACAACACCATGCTTTAACCAACTGAGCCAACATGCCAGCCTGATATTTCAAAGTATCTGGAGGATGCAAACTTCTCATTCATTATTTGGTCTTTGATTTTTCTGTATAATACAGAAACAATACTTCTGGCTGGCAGTGAGGATCTCGCTCCGTCAGGGTGTCACCGAGTGCTGACAATTTATAAAAGCAAACCACAAAATCAGCTTCAAACGGCTGCATGCTCCCCAGAAGTAGTCCATAAGGTTTAAACTCCACAGTAATGATTTTGCAAGCAAGATGCCCTCTCCTGAGTTTTTCCAAATTACCTAGCAGTGCAGAGGCCAGATGTGGAAGATTTTGGTGGGGACATAAGTTAGGGATGGAGCTGAGGTCTTCATTCCAGCTGTATTTTATGCGTTGCCTTACTTGTCACCATGTAGATTTCCAGAGAAATGGGCATAATTCTTCTTAGCAATGACAAAGAGCAAAATGCATTAACCTAAAGCTGACAATTTGAGAACAAAAGATTGTCAAATACCATGTTTTCCAACCAGTTATCCATGGAAATAACAGGTAAACATGGAGCAATGGAGAAAAATGGTAGAATTTTTAAAGAAACTATGTACTTCTTTATAAGTATCCTGTTTTACTGTAATCCTGTTCCATTAAATGCAACATAGTGTCCAGGTGCTGCCCCTTGCTTGGGAACAGCATTGGGGTTTTAAGTGTCTGCAGAATCTCTGCATCTGAAGGGAATTGAGAATGAATTTCTCCTGGTACTGTAATGAAATAAGGTCTGCTCAATAAACTTTTCTTCTCTTCTTTAAAACTGTCTGTCAGTCATTCAGCTTTTACATTTAGAAAGGATAGACCGATGGAGTGCGGAGTTGAACCTTTCATCTGGCACAAGTCACAAACACTGGCAGAGGAAGGCGGGTTTTACCTGCAGTGTCTGGCACTGGAGCTGGGTTTGGGTTGCAGCCAGTTCTTTGGGTTTTCAGGATAACACCATGTCTCATCTAGGTGCCCAACCTCTAGGAGCTGTCCTAGCAGCACCAACCATAACAGGTGAGATGGGGTGGGTGGGGAACCCAAAGGCAAGAAGACATCATGAAACAGCTGGGCCTAACCTTGTCACCATGTTCCTCAGAGAGTGGTATGGACTTTATTTTGGAAACACATATAAAGTTGAAGATAGGGTTCTTGCTGTTCAGTGCCCATTGGATGCTGCAGCCAAGCGTGTTGAGTGCTCCTGCTGAAGTGGAGGTTGGGAGGGGACCTGGTGGCTGCGAGAGCACAGGCACCTGAGGTGGAGGAGGAGGGATTTGGTGGTTAGGAAAAGCTGCTGCACGGGTAGGTGATGCTTAAGCTGAAGCCTGAGGAACATGCAGGAGACGTCCACGTGGGATGAGGAGTTGGGAAGAGAGGGAGGGACTTGAGCTGGTGTGTGTCTCCTTGAGGGAGGTGCACGTGAACCTGTGTGGCCACAGTATGGCCAAAAGAGAGATTCAGGAGAAGGGTCTGGATTTGGTTCTAGGGGCACAAGAAAGCCCCCAAGGGGTTTAAACTGGGTGTTGAGTTGAAATGGGTTTTTCTTGTAATAAACCTTTTGTTGAAGTAGAGTACTCAGAAGAGTACACAAGCATATGTAGATTTTCACAAAGTGAAAGCACTTGTGTAATGGTCATTCAGATAAATAAAGTGAGCTGGCCAGTGAGCTCAGATGGTTAGTGCACCACCTTGTAACACCAAGGACAAGGGTTTGGATCCCTGCACTGGCCAGCACAACAAAAAAGAAATAAAAGGAAGTTAGATTTTATTTTGTGTTAGACAGCATGTAAAAATCTATTTACAGTCTGGCTTCCACTAATGGCAGAGCAAAAGGAAGTTAGATTTTATTTTGTGTTAAACAACATTTAAACATCTGATTACAGTCTGGCTTCCACTCTGGCAGAACAGCTTGTATCTGACTAACCTGCTGCCAATAATTATACACATTATTGGAGTGCACTCGAAAGTGACCAGAGAGGCAAAAAGTGGAGGAAGCTCTAGAGGCTGGTCAGTCAGCTTAGTTGGGTAGAGCACAGCCTTGTAACCCCTGTGTCACGAGTTCGGATCCTTGTACCGGCTAGCTGCCAAAAAACAAAAACAAAAACAAAAACCCACATTGGTAAGATCCACATTTCAGTGACTGTTCCTCATGTGACCCACAGAGAATAAAATGGAAAGTGCCAGTCTTACTAGTCTGAGGAGCCAGTCAGTTCAGGGCTGTCTGAGCAGCTGAAAATTGAAGGGGAAAATCCCAGAAAAGAGGAAACCACACAGCTCCAAACTTTGCCTCACATACTCCCCTCAAATCATTAGCCAACACTTACATTGTGCATGAACAGGGCAGGATTACAAGAGGCCCAGTGGAAAGCTACACTTGGAAGGCTAGAAAAGCTGAGCAGAGACTTCAGTGGATGCCGGGTGCTGGGAAGGAAGAGTTTGGTATTTATGTCCTACCAAGTTAGAGGGGCCTGGTAAGTATTTCAGGCGTTCCCTTGGAAAAACCCAGAGGGTCATGCTTTAGATTAGGACCACATCTCAAAACTCAGGTCTAGGCTCTAGGACTGAGGGCAAAACTAAAATAGACCCACCTTAATAAAGCCTAAAATTGCTACTTCAAATAATCAAGGTGATGTGCTAGTAACTTAACTGTCTACAAAACAGTTTTCATAGAAAAAATAACTGAATCTAGAGTCTCTACAGTATATTATTCAGAATGTCCAGTATATAATCACAGACCAGGAGACATGAGAAGAAGCAGGAATATATGACACGTAACCAAGGAGAAAAACAAAACAAACCACCCAATAAAAAACCAAGGTGTTGAAATTATTGAAAAAGAATTTAAAAATAACAATTATAAATTTTTTCTTAGATTTAAATTGATGCTTTTTTATTACCTTTACTTTTGCTATGTCCTGCATTTCTCTATTTTTATTTTAAAGTATTTAATTGACGAAGATTGTATGTATTCAATGTGTACAATGTGATGGTTTGATATACATATGCATTGTGTGATGATTATCACAATCACATTAACACATCCATCACCACCCATGCTGTGTATGGGAACCCAGAATTTATTCATTTTTTAGCTGGAACTTTATACCCTTTGACAAACATCTCCCCATTCCCCTACCCCCAGCCCCTGGTAACCACCATTCTACTCTGAGTTCAACTTTTTTAGATTCCACATATAAGTGAGATCATGCAGTATTTGTCTTTCTCTGGCTTACTTCATTTAGCATAATGTCCTTCAGGTAAAGAATCTATAGGAAAGGATAGATATAAAGTGTGAAGAGAAGGAGAATTTTAGGAGAAAGATGAAAATTTTGTGGGTGGACTTACAAGAAGGTTAAATTGTGCAGAAGAAAATATCAATAAACTTGAATACACCTTAATAGAAAGTATCCAAACTGAAGAACAAAGAGAACAAAAAAAAAAAAAAAAGAAAGAAAGAAAGAAAAGAAAAATGAACAGATTTAACCTGTGAGGCAGTATCAAGCGGTTTAACAAATATATAACTGAAGTCCCAAAAGAGGAGAGAAAATGTGTCAGAAAAAATATTTGAAGAAATATTGGCCAAAATTTTTAAAAGTTAAATTAAAAATAACGACTTGTGGGTCCAAGAACCTAAGGGACCCCCTTGCTATGGTTTGAATGTCCCCTCCGAAACTCATGTTGAATCTTAGTTTCCAATGTGGCGGTGTTAAGAGGTGGGGGTCCTGGGAGCTCTGCCCTCACGACTGGATTAATCCATTCATGCACTGATGGGTTAACGGATGAATGGGCTATTGTGGGAGTGCACCTGGTAGCTTTATAAGGATAGGAAGAAATATGCTGGTGTGCCTTCACCCCCTTGCTACGTGATAGCTGGTGCTGCCTAGGCTGCAGAGTCCCCACCAAGAGGAAGGCCCTCACCAGACATGCTCCTCAATCTTGGACTTTCCAGCCTCTAAAACTGTAAAAAATAAATTTCTTTATGAATTACCCAGTTTCAGGTATTCAAAATGACAGAAAATGAGCTAAGAGCCATGTAATATAGTTTTTAAAAATGCAGTCTTGTCCTGGTTTTGAGGCCCTGGCTAGAGACCAGCTAGTCCTCAGGAGGGGCCAATTACGTTCACACCCCCAGTCACCTCCCTTACTGGTCTCTTACATCCCAAGCCACTCGCCTAATCACATCACAGCTCGGTAAACAACCAGGACAGCCTCTGTGCCACAGGGCCTGCTGAAATTATTCATATTAACTCATCCTAAACCTGCCTCACTTGTTCCTTCCTGGGGAAACCATAGTAAAAGATCTTGCCCACATTTTCCCCTTGTAGAGCTAGGCTCGAGCTCACAGACCCCTCGAGCCTGTTGTCCACACTGGGTCACAAACCCTCCACATGCAAGTCTATGAGCTAGGTAATAGGAAAAGGTCCTTGGAGCCATGGGTGGGTGAAGAAATAATAGGCTTTATTCAAAGCTAGGAGCAGTCGCCCTAATATGGCTTCCCAGTGTCCTCTCGAAGCTTTGCATGTCTGTGCCATTAGTCCTTTTTACTCAAGTCCATAATCCAAAAAAACAAAAAAACCAAAAAACCTGGATGCACATGTGCAATCACATTAGACAATAACAAGGAACACCTGTGCACATACGCGTACCCACCTCACATGCTCAGCAAGACACCAAACATCTGAGGGGCCCTGACCATTTTCCATATAGTTTCCCAACAATCCACCCCTTCAGGGTCCCTTGCCATACAATCTACATGTTCAGAATCTTCCATGATGTTCCCTTAGCAAGGATAAATGACCCTTACATTCATATAACCTACTGTCTGTTCAATATGCCTTAAGGCTCGTCCTTAAGGCTTGTCCTGTAGTTCTGTCCTTTCAACTATTAGCCGCTCATGTCCGGTTAGTAGTCATCATTGGTGTGATCCTCCATGGGAATCCTGTAGTCATACTGATGGGAAGTTAAATGCATATTCAGTGGCCAGCACATTGATCACACGACTCTGGTGCGGTGCCTTCAGCCAGAACACTATGGGCGAAAAGACAGAAGGGTTATTGGTACCAATAGGGGAAGTTCTCGCCCCTCTGGTAAGATACATGCCAGTTTGCCATGCTGAGAAAGGATGGGTGCAGGAGTAGGCATCTTACCTGGCTTATGATACCATACTTTATCTGCTAACACTGTTGGATCTGTAAGTTCTACATGTAACACTATAGGGGAACTCATAAGTGGCCATAATAATAATACAAATGTGCCCTTTGGAATAGAGCACTTACCTGTTCCAGGCCCTGTTACCTTTACTCGAGGAGGCCAGGGACTTGTCACCCAAGGGGATGCTTGCAAGTCTTCTAATCCTTTCCCCCAAGGCCCTATTAGGCCTACCCAGCGTATATGGAGAGATTCTATTCTCAAGGCAATTCTCATTGTACTGTCTGTCCCAGTTGCAAACAGGTTGGGGCTGGTAAGAGAATATTTCCATTCTTGCCACATCCTGGCTTCAAAATCTTATCTTTTTTTTTTTTTTTTAAAAGATGACCCGTAAGGGGACCTTAACCCTTGACTTGGTGTTGTCAGCACCACGCTCACCCAATGAGCTAACCGGCCATCCCTATATGGGATCCGAACCCGGGGCCTTGGTGTTATCAGCACCGCACTCTCCCGAGTGAGCCACTGGCCGGCCCTCAAAATCTTATTTTTAGTAGTGATTTGCAGCTGTAAAGGTGTTGCAGCCCTATGCAACAGAGCTTCCACTGGAGAGGGTCTGCCCTTGAGCAGTGT